CTGCCTCACTTCAGCACAGTTTTGATTCACCCCTCAGCATGTCCTCGGGGAATAAATTCCCACGCACAACACCTACAATCCATCATGGAGCCAAACACGCGGTAGCGAACCCGAGTCGGAGGTATCTTCTCTAGAATTGTTAAATATGTTTTTTTTTGTATTTATTTTGAACTTGTGACGTACTTCGAAAACCAAAATCGCTATCTTCACATTGTCACTAAAATATTCTGTTTTTCTGAAAAAAATCTGGATTTTTTGGGCTTGTCCGGCACTAATAAATAGTAGACCGGACTCTCACCGGGAAAATCCGTTAGCTATCTAAGGGGCTCTCACGAGGACTCTTTGGTTCATCTGCAAAATGCGCGACAATCCTGTTGCACCACAGAGTTAGTCACCAAGTCTGTATAGAAACTGTCAATTGTGCTGAGTTGTACAATTGAGGGGGAGTATTGCCATCTGTTACTTATCCACTCCTCTATCTGATCACGCACGTATAGGTATCAGGTGCAACATCTCCCCCCTTTTTTAAGTCCTCTTGAGGTTAAAATTTTTGGTTGTGTTCTTGATCTACTCTCATTTATCATTGTGTTGTCTGTGTTCAAGTCTGGGATCCTACTCAGCAAACCGCAAATTTGGTGTCGTATACCATAACAACATACAATTTTGAATTTTCCTGTTTTCCAAAAAATCTTTACTCTTAGTTTTAGCTTAGGACGGGAAAGTTGTTGTTAGCCCATCATATGTATTTTGACGTCGCTTAATTTGTCGACGCATAAACTGCCCGCATCACCCCCTGCATGTATTTCGCTGAAAAATTTCAAAACCTGCACCAGCTTGGGATATGCACGTATCACCATAAGAAAGTCGTAACTTGAGCGACATCGATAGAGATCACAGTAGTCTTTGAAGTCGCGCATATCAACAGGTATCCATATTTTTGGATTAATTTTATCTGAGAGGTATTTTTATGAAGATTTTAGCTAGCATCGTTACGTATGATACATAGTTTGGAAAGCAAGTGCGTCGACTATGCCTTCTCAGCAAGAAAAATCGAGCCCGTATGCTTTCAAAAGGCGCCATTCCTCTTGTTTAATAGATAAATGACCTTTGTACTTGTCCATGCTGCACCAGAAGCAAGTCATGTGCGAGCCATGTAAAGTCTGGATCCTCAGCAGATTGTCAGATCCTCAACGCAGAGCATCTGATGTGCTACGAATGTAACCAATTCCTGGCTCCAAACGCTTATTCGCGTCATCAGTATTTAAAGTCTCAGGCGTACGTGTGTTGTCCATTAGATACATTCTGGAAGCTGATATTTTCACGTGCTTGCTGCAGCAAGTGCAAGGCGTGCGTGGATAAGTCAAAGGCTGTGGGTCATGCCGAGCCACGCCTCAAACGATGTGTGCAATGCTTTCAAAATGTACCGAAGTCATATTTTTCCAAGCGCCAAGCTCAGCTACTAGACCCTAAGTGCAAGTTGTGTGTTAAAGAGCTGTCTCAGGCCGCTATTTTCTCATCAGTGCGTGTTGCTAGTAAGCTGCCTTACAATTTTCTGACCTACATGTAGACTACGGTTCATTGTCGCATGACTTCGTTTGTTATTATTAGATAAATGGAAATTTGACCATTACTACCGCGTGTGTCATCGTGGCAAACGTGGAGGCGTGTCAGTGCGCGTGAAGCACAATATTGCGTCTCCTTTGCTTGGATACATTCCTCTTGGTCGCGTTTTTCGTGGCACAGCACCCATTTGCAATGAACAGGGCGATTCCATGGTGCGACTGGAAGGACCACAAATTACCAAGGTCGTTGTACAAGACGACAGCAAAAATTTATACAGAGAAGATCAGAAGGCAGAACGGCGGTTGAAAGAGGCGTGGGTGCCCTGCCGCTCCATTCGTAACGAGACTTTGCTCGAGTCGCATCGAGGTCCATTTGTTGCTGGTAACGAAAACGAGTGGACTAGCCGGTTTTTCCGCTGCGTCGTAGAAGGCTGCAAGGTTCGTGAGCAAGCTGATCTGGTGATTTCGGAACTTGGCTACGTGCTATATGGTGACGTGGTAGAAGTCGTCGAGTCTGTTGTGACCTTAGATGGAGTCGTATTCCTGAAGCTCCACGAACGTTATTTTGATGGTGTGGCGTGGGTTGTAGAGCGATCGCTAGATAACGAGTCGGTGCTAAATGAAATTGAGGGTCCATGGATATCGTTGTCAGCTACGCCAAGAAAAGAATTGTACCGCTGCGTACAAACTTCAGGGGCTCCTATTCGTATGGAACCAGAGTTGACAGTATCACCAGTAGGGCGCATTCCTTGCGGCGCTGTTGTAACAGTTGTTGAGCGTATGGTGACCAGTCAGCGCCTAGTGTTTCTTCGAGTTCTTGACTGCAGCATCTCTTACGCGGATGAAAGAGACACTCAAGGTGATAAATGGGTCATTGAAACGAGTTCATGCTGTGCCAGTGTCATGATTAAGGTTAAAAAAGATTGGCACAGCGATCGACAATACCATTCTGTACGGCATTTGTAAAGCAACGAGATAACTGTATGTCTTATAAAATTGTTTCATTAAACCCACACCCACTTGTGGTGAGGTTGCCAAATATCTGGGTAGTCCCAGCCTTGACCAAAAAAGTTCGGCGGGGCTTGCAGTTCCTCAGGGCCGAGCACTGCTGACACATTAATATGACAAAGAGCATCATTACGCACGAAAAAACAATTTACACCATGCGACTCGCAGTATACAAGCGAAAACCCGTTACGAGCGCCCCAGCGGTAAAATGCCGCCACGCTGCCGCCGAAGTAGGATGACATACCGTCCCAGCCACCACCTTTATCATCATACTCAACCGTCCGAGCTTCATTCGACGGGATATGACTGTTTACCTCTACAATCACTACTCGTGGAGATACGCGCTTCAAGTCCATAGCGTCAAGCAGCCAAAAGTCGTTAAAGTCCACGTCAATGGACAAAAGGTCGAGATCATGAGGAACGAGGCTCTTATACTTTTCTGTTAAAAGATACATGAAATTTGCACGGGTAACAAATTCGCGATGCAGCTCGATGCTCGTATTTTCGTAATGTGAATCCATCAACAATCCTTTCCACCCGTGGACCTGACGCAGCAACCGAGTATTGCATTCCTGACCGCTTTCTGTGCCAAATTCGACATAGGACTTGCCCTTCGTGCCAATGTGTTTAAATATCTTGATTAGAATGCCATCTTCTCCATTCTGTGAATAGATACCCCATTCGTGACGCCAAAGGTCACAAATCCATTGTAACATTGGCGCTGACATAATTTCTTCTGGACAGGCTCTGGGGCGTTGAGAAGTGTGTATTCTCGGATCGAGAACATGCAGTCTCGATGTAATGTCGGGTGCATTTACAGCTGGGGCTGCATTGAAGGCGACAATCTCGGAAAGAAACACTGCTTTATTGTTATCCGTCATAAGAAGAATACTGATCTCATGATTCAAAGCCCCATTAAAGGAGACATGATCCACAGGCGACCGAAAAGTAATGCTTTGATACATCGAATTGATGTGCGTACCATGGCGAAGAACCCGTTCATCAACAGCCATAAAGTCAGGGTTGAGGCAGGCAAAAGTATCGTCAATCAAAAGGCAGACACGAAATGCACGATCGAAAGGATCAAAAAATGTCGTGCGAATTTTAGCCTGCAAATAGGCATTGTTGCTAATACCAGCTTCCGTCTTCGATGAAAATATCTCGACTACAGTTGCTGTGGGAACAACAATTTGAAAGCTTGTCGCTGCTAAGATGTCTGCACCGGTCTTATCAGTAAAGTAAAGTATGTGACAGCCTTCAAGAGTGTTAGGAGTAATAAATACGGGATGTGTTTGGGGCACTTGAAAGCATGCGATCGGTGTGGTTGAATAGTATGTATATGTATTGACGCAAACTTCTTCCGATACTATAACATCGTTTAATTGTGGCTTGCTTGGCTCCCATTCCACTTTCACGTAAATTCGCTCTGATCGTGGATAGAGACGCTTCTCCATTGGGCTAATTATTTGAAGCTGACGACGCCAGCTGGTCCTCGTACGTTTAGTTTCCTCTTCTGTTCTGACAACCGTCTCTCCAGAATTAGCTCGTACGCTTTCAACTTGTTCACGTAAAACGCGAATGAGAGCGGCACATTCAGCGATATGAAGCTTGTTTCGTAAACAATACTTGGCTGCGTCGGCTGTTCCATCACTCAACTTATCCACTTTAATCTTATCATTATACCGACCAAGCATTATCGGAATTTCCACGTACTCGGTATCTGTGTTTGTGCTTTTGATAGCTAGATCCTCGCAGCCCCAGTCTCTTGCCACGAGATTTTTAATGTCAGTAGCAATCTTTTCGCAATTCCGCTCATCTATTCTGAATCGCGCGCAATACTGCGCAATTGTTTGGCCGAGTGATTGCTCGGGATAGAGCACGATCGGTTCAGAGGCTTTCACCTGCTTCTGTGTCGCTGAATCGAGCATCCAAACGTCATAAGAAAGTGAATGGTCCAGCGAAACATTCACGACGGCTTCTCGAATAGTTAAATGAGACATTTCTTGCATTGTATTTAGCAAGTGCTTTTTGACGTTGCTGCACTTGTTCTTGGGCACATTGAAGGATTCGCACGTATAGTTGCCTAGGTTCTCGACTGCGTGAAACAAGTCGATGTGTAGAAGTACATACTCCACATTGGAGGGTGGAATGTGCAACAGCGAGCACGACTGAGCAATGCAAAGATGTGAAATGAAGAGAAGCAGTAGGACTTGAACGGCTCGAGTGAGGACGAAGGATCCACCCGACATAGAGGACAATAGGAAATTGTGTAGCACACAGAAATCAATTACGTAAAAAGATCAAAAAGCAGGAAAACATATTGTAAATAATGATGATACGAAATAAGAATATCATGCTGCCCCGAAACGTGCGCTACGATTACAGAAAGAGCTCCAATGCAACCTGGTCGAAAAAGCATAAAAAACAAGAAGCACTTATATGTGATCGTACTTTTCGCCTTGAAGTATTCAGGAAGTAAACGGTCCGTTGCTGCACTACTTGCGAAGCCCGAAGGAGTTATAGCGAGCACTTAAGTAAAAAAGTCATCAAATTTAGTAGTGAGATCGTTGGTACAAAATGTTTTTAGAACCTGTATTCAGATATTCTCAAAAAGATCAGTTTCTGGAAACATCTACATATCTAATGACATAACTTGTAGAGATATACCATCCAAAAAATGTGAAGATTTCCGCGCTCTTATTGAGACTAATTTTGTTTTTCTCTGAAGATTATTAGAAGTAGTTTTCCAACGTTTAATAATAAAACGTATACGTCAGCTGTTTGTTCTTACGAGTGACGGTGTTGATCTTTGGAAAAGAGATTTTTCACTACCAAGAGACAGTCTGCGACGGGGATGCCGTGCACCTCGCACACAGGAAGATTTGATTTAATGACTCGCGTTATTTTAAGCACAGAGGATGTGCTGATAGATGCCGAAACGAGAGCCCCCATACTAAGTAAGCTCTAATCTAAGAGTGAATTAAGGCTTTTGTTGTCGAGAGTCCTGCTCATCTCCTTATCCCGCTAGTACAGCTACCGGTCAAGTCTCAAACTTGTAATAAATTTGGTTTCCACTCGCTACAAGGATGCGCATTGTGCTGGTTGACTTAGCCATTTTGAGGAGATGACGACAGATCTCGCGCAAGTAATTAATGGTAGCAGATATAGGGCAAAGTTGCCTTAATTGGACCTCGAACATCCAAAAAATTTAGATGTATCTTTCAGTTTTCCGGATACTGGTGACAATTATAATTGACGAGTCAGCCATCTTTTTGAGTTTCATGGAAGTAGATATATTGAGCCACTTCCGGTTAAAAATGACCACCTTGCGCAGCTGACTCTCGTAAGTCCTTATAGCGACGCGTGAATGTTCTTCGAGGGTCGCCACGTATGACCAATAATGACATGAGGCTACTTCGAATGCTATCTCAGAGTCATGCCACCGCCGGAAAAGCAACTAAAGAACCGTCTTGCCTCTACAAAGCGGGAAGTACCTCAGCTGAAGGGAAAAATAAGTGGGTTGATTTTCCTTCATCAGAGCGCTTCAATTTTGAAAATCTCGTATTAGCAATATTATGGTTCTAAGTGAACAGGCTCATGCACGAATCGGGATGTGTGCGAATTTCTCTCGGAACATCGACAGTGTAACCTAACCCTTTTTGGTTACATTCGAAGCCGCAACGATGTCGCGGTTTCGACAAACAGACTTATAGGCTGCATATGCTGCATAAGTACGTTCATTTTCCGTATTTAATGAATTTTACTCACTCATTATATGTTCCTGTGTGCTCGTGTGCCTCTTACACTAGATTGTTACTTTCGCACCCGTTGTTCTTGGTCATGGCGCTGCGATTTTTCAAACTTAATCGTGTATTTTCCGCAAAAAACAATTGGAGCAACTTCGTGGCGGTGTTAAAGGTGTACGAGAGCTGATTAAATTATGATCAAGGAATAAAGTAAATTAGTATCGGTGTGCGCCACATAATTTATCGAGTGAGGATGAGTGTGAGAGCCTTGCTCCAGCACCGCGCCCTCTACATGCAAGTGCTTTTGAAGATGTCCGTCACCACGCAATATACGCATTTCACCCGAGCATCTGTTTGCGGACGGTTAGCGCCGGGCATGTCCAACCTGATGCGAAGTGCCTAGAACAACGTCCGCTGAAATTTAGGTGTTAATGGCATATCGTAACCCACGACAACTGCTACCCGCAAGCCATGTTGTCGAAACACTTTTTCGATGGAAGACTTGGTTAAACTCTCATTACTCACACTATTGCAGCAGCGAGAATAGTCATTTGCTCAGACGGAACGCAAGGAAATCAATGCAGGTACAAAAGGTTGCGGCTTTTGAAAGACCGTAAAGATTTTATAGACCACCAACACTCTAAGGAGTAGCAGAGTTCTTATTTCGGCTCACGGGTTATCCTGTTGATACGTCTAGTGCAGCGGGGCTGCCGTAGCTTTTTCGCCTAGAGGAAGTTAAGCTATGGTCGATGACCTTACATTCTATACTAGAACCAGTACGAGTGTAGCGGATCGCAATCCGCTTACTCCAAGAGTAACCACAATCTTAACCCAAAGCAAATAAACTCTTCCGCTCAAAACCTGAATTGTATTTCTCTGCTTTAATTGCGGCAAAGCCGCCTATATCTAAATTTTTATGTCTTCCTAATCAAATAGTAAAACCTAATTAGGACGCATAACTACTGTCGGACCAGCCACATAGTGGCTTCTTGTTAAGGTATAGTCACACCATTTTTTGTGACCCACCCCTTGTACGTGTTGCCCCGTTACATCTACCACGGGCGTAAATAAATGATAACCGCCTTTTATGTTGGATCTCCATTACATAGCGCTCTCTGAGCTGGATGTCACTTTGAAGTTGCTCTATCACGAGATCATAAAGTAATTTATACTGGAGATCCCCATCACCGACACGCAAGGACAACAGTGCTGGCGCAAACGGTTGCGGCTTCTGTAATCCAGATAGCCTTTACAGACTACCAACACTCTAAGGAGCGGAAGAGTGATTTGGCTGCTGTCGGGTGCACCGACACATTATCCTGTTGACACGTGTGGCACGAGCGTACATGAGTGCTTTCCGACTTTTACATGTTGAATCTCCATAGTGCTTTCTAAAGTGGACGTTTTATTTTAAGTTGTTAAAATACGAGATGATAAAGGAGTTTGTACTGAAGATCATCATCATTAGTATAAGTGTTAAATGATTCGTGCAACTATGCAGCGGACCTTGGTACAAAAAAACGCGGCGCAGACGCGGAATCAAACTCTTTGATCTGCACTGTATTCTTGTTGCAAAATGGTTTAGCAATGTCACACATGATGCATTGTCAATCGCACAACATCATCATAGCGCAACATCATGTGATATTTTAAAGTTAGGGCCACGCGAAAGCTCATATAAAATCAGATTGAGCCGGCCCGACTTTACCTTATCTGACAAGGAAAGTAATGATATAACCATTCTTATGCGTACCGCCGCAAAGTCACCAACGTGCACAACGACGCCTGATTTGTATGGGGCACAAATGGCTTAGAGCTATGCAGGTTATCCTGAACGAGACAAGAGTGTACTTCTTAGAGAGCGGTTCCTTATCACAGCAACGCACTCTTTTTATCGCGTTACGCTGTTGAGACTTAAACAAGATTCTGCGCTCATTTCCATTAGTATCCACAAAAATATCAGCGGTTGAAAGGTCACAGATGAAATGGAATTACTAATCAAACTAGGAACAGCGGAAAACAGGTTTCTATCATACATAATATCACAGTCTTGTAACCCGCATCTGCTGCAATCCAACGTAGTGGTGTTTGCGTTGGTACCGCAGATAAACATGTCTGTATAGTCCGTGCATGTGAACCCACTAATCGAGAGCAATCTCCGGTTTGTTAAAAGGATAAGATGCAGAGCAGCATGCGCCTTGTTAAGATCCTTAAACCTTATCGATGGATACTATTAAACAGTTTGCTAGATATACTGACAACCTTATCACAGTTGTGAGTTCTCCGAGAAATGTACGCCGGTAGTTGCTGCTGATGCCGTAGCGCTGTCTAGCGAATAAAGGACACTTTAAGGCACTAGCGAATTTAAGCGTATGGAAACGCATATGCCATTATCTGAACTGATATGACAGTACATTCTTTCAAAGTCCTTACAGAGCACAGGTCGTACGATGTGGATATCCATATCACACACTTGCGAGCAGTGTGCACTCTCTAAAAACCATTTCCATAAGCATACACGATACATTGTTTGCTGGTTGGGAGTACAAACTTTCTTTCGCCAAACGTTCCATGTGATTCCCACGGTAAAACGTGCCATTGATGTAAACATATTTATCTAGTGGGGCATTTGTCGTGTGACACCATTTTCGATTCCAGAAAATAGGTCAGTTTTATGACACAATTCTCGATCGGTGGGCAGCACGCGCTGTTGATCTCTCGTTACAACGTCTTGATGGTTTCTCAATAGAGGACACAGATGCACTGTGAATTTCTTGAGAATAGCTGTTCCTCTTGTCACATTTTAAGATATGCGGTAACTTTGTTTATCCATGACGGATAATAAGCTCAGCACTTTTTGTGGTACTAATAGCGCAATTTCGGTTAACCTTAGACTCGGAATTCTTTGTCGACATTTTCTCGGTGGAAATCTTCAAGAGCGAAGAGATGTTCTTCCGACGGTAATCATGAAAGTGTCGTATTTGAAACATTATATGCCGGTCACTCAATTCACAAGCATGTAATCAATCTAGCCACAGACTCGCAGAGTTTAAGTACTCCGCACGCTTGGCGCGTCATACGGTAGTGTTTTTATTAGCATCGCCATATTGTACCGAGAATGAAAAATCTTTAATAGATCCAGGGTACTTGTGACTTACAGGTATCCATTTCCACAAGATCGGTATCCGACTTCCGCGACTCACGGTCACTTGCTCGTCTTCACGAGCTCTGGATCAGATAAATCAAACGTAAAGCTGTATTCAGACATACCGCCGGCGCTTCAGTGAACATGACGACCGTTGCTCATTTTTACGTCTCAGCAGGAAGGCACTCTGGATCCCGCGATATCCTATTGCTTCTTTGTCTCAATTTGAGACTGCAGCACATTGCAGCTTCTTCTTGCCAAGATTTACTCACGAAACTCAGCAACATCGTGCTCACCAATTCAAACAATCCCGTGTCCCCTTTTGATTTGACCATCGGTCTGCGGATGATCCGCCGTCGACATATCTAACTTGGTCCCGAGTACCTTAAAGATTGACGACCAAAATTTCTCGTGAAACGGGGGTCTCTTTCAAAGACAATCGACTCTTGGGGTCCGTGTTGTCTAAAAACACGATCTACAAACAGCGTTGCTATACTGACTCCGTCGACGGTGGCTGGCACCGCCGCTAAATGGGCCATCTTGCTCAACCGGTCGACAAATACCACGACACCCGTGTCGCTCGCCGAAAGTTTCGGCAGGCCAAACACAAAATCCAAACTCATGGACTGCCAGCACCCAGGGACTAGTAAGCTGGACAGCGGCGCAGCCGCATGTGGAGAGGATTCTACCCGTTGACACGTCTCACACGTGCGCACATAGGTACTCGTCCGTTCGAACAACTTGGAGTGGTGACTCACAGAGTTGTACGTTATTTCACGACCGAGATGACCACTAAGTGGCATGTCGTGCGCCTCATACAGAATGCGGTTTTTTAATTCCTCATCATGAAGAACCACAACTCGTGGTGTATCCGTTGATTCGGTGCTATAATATAGCAACCCATTATTCAACGAATATCGGTGCAATCGTGCACGCAAGTCTTGATGACAATTTCTTGTCCGAGTTTCCAAACTCCTTGCTCCCTAGAGCCCGTAGCGACGCTACATACATCTCATCACCCGCATACGCGGTGCGGGTCAAATCTGTCACAGACGACGTTACAGTTGTAATGAGCACTCTCACAGTTCTCTACGTGACAACGTGTCAGCCAAAGCATTCTGCTTTCCCGGCTTATACTTCACTTCAAAGTTGTATTTCACAACGAAGGATGGCCATCTAGCTATCCTCTACGAGAGGTTGGGTGACTGAGTCGCAATGCGTAATGACGCATGATCTGTGTTGATCACAAACGGCATGGAGCCGAGCAGACGGGCCCTGAACATGACAAGCGCATACTTCATCGCAAGTAGCTCCTTGTCATGAACTGAGTAGTTTTTCTCCGCAGCT